AGAACTGTCACATTCCCAGTGTTAAGCTCCTCCTGAACTGAAGACAAGTCCAAAAGCATTTTTACAAAATAAGGACTGGATTCCTGTCTCAGTGTTCAAAATCAACTTTTCCATATAATTACATTTCTGTAATCCAGTTTTATTTGGTGTTTTTTGTTCTAATTTCACAAGCAATAGCTCTCAGCCTTAATCAGCAAAATAAATATAATAATTAATTTCAAACCTATCTCTCTGTGCAATAATTAGAAATAATTTCAGTTTCACATAATTACTTAAATAAATTACGCATTGCATGATATTTTAATTTGATGAATTGCTGAATTGTCTGAAAATGGGGGGGAGGCAGGTGCACTTTTATGTGCACGAGTATTAAAGTGAGCACCGTTGTGATGAACAGGAAAGACTTACTTTTTATTTCAGAGGACTTCAGAGAAAAAAAACAAACAAAGAAACAAAAATCTCTGATGCCTGTTCGAGCACATGGATTATTAACAATACTTGTAATAATAATAATAATTTATTATTATGTTACATAATAATAACCAACAGCTAATTCAACAGCTCTCTTAATATATATATATATATATATATATATATATATATTATATATATATATATATTATATATATATATATATATATATATATATAACTGCACCTCTATTCACCGGTTGAAAAATAATACCTTGTCATTTCTGTTTGAGCCACTGGCCTCATAAATAGCTGCACATCATCTCCAAATTACAATGACGCAAGTACATTTTTTTTTTAGATTTTAGGAATAAATAACCTGATATAAATAACCTGAATTATAGATAAAGAGATAAGGAAAATGCTGTTCCCTTTTTTTTTTATGTATTTTATTTCTATTTCCATCATCAATTGAAAAAGAAACAAGTCTCATTTGCAGCTCCTATGACGGCTCTCCCAATGCCTGAATGCTTTTACAGTTACGCTTTCTTAGGATCTTTTATAAATATAACTCAAGTTTAGCTGTGTCTCTTGCTTCCTCAGTGTTGTGAAAAATATTGTTATATTATCAAACAGTGGTTTCTTTACAAATTTAACTTCTCAGTGAACTTTTGTCTTTTTTTTTGCAACTTCATAGACTGTTTCTGAAACAGACAGAAGATCAATTTATCTGGTAATTGGAGCCCCACTGGATTTGTGACAATAGATTTTTTGTTAACTGTGGAGGGGGATTATGCTGTAAAATCTCAGGTATTAGAAGGCTTACAAGACGGATTACCCATTGTAATTGATTCACAGTCATTCTGACCTGGTAATGTATGTATGGAGTCAATTGCATCTTCCCAAAGCAAGAGAAAACTGCATTTTAACAGTGTTGAGGACTTACATCAGTCATTTTAAAGTGTCTTGTTTCAGTCTCCCTTAATGGTTGAAGAATATGTTACTGCAGTAAAATTTATGGCACTCTGTTATTGCTCATTTCACCACTGTTTGAGCTGAAACCTTTTGGGGTTTTTGTCTGTAGCCTTTGCAGCTCTAGAGACTTCAATTGTGTTGCTCTACCTTAAAACCTGAATAAAATAGCCTGAAGTAGATTCTCACCATGACACGATGCTACTTGAGTAAAAGACAAACCGACTGCAGTTTATTTTCTTCTGTCTATATCTTGATTTTGCAGCTGGTCAGGGTGAGACTATCTTGTTGACACTAAAATAAATCATTGTGTTCCTTCTGCTTCTTTTCATGTAAAATGCAGATTAAGTTGTTGACCCATTTTGGATTGTCGTTTGGGCCTGCTGTTTTCTTTGGGGGGAGGGGAGACCTCTTTTTATTCTTTTTCTATTTTCTTATATATATATGTGTTCAAAACCCAAGTTGCAGGTTGTGCAAGGAGGCTCCTGAGAAAGTCCAGCACATAACAGCAGGGTGCAAGATACTGGCAGGGAAAGCGTACATGGAACAACATAACCAAGTGGCAGGCATAGTGTACAGAAACATTTATGCAGAATATGGACTGGAAACCCCGAGATCAAAGTGGGAAACACCCCAAAGGTGGTGGAGAACACCAGAGCTAAGATCCTGTGGGACTTCCAGATCCAGACAGAATGGTAATGGCGAACCAACCAGACATTGTCGTAGTGGATAAACATCAGAGGAAAGCCGTTGTGGTAGATGTAGCAATACCAAGTGATTGCAACATCAGGAAAAAGGAGCACGAGAAACTGGAGAAATACCAGGGCCTCAGGGAAGAACTGGAGAAGGCCTGGAAGGTGAAGACCACAGTGGTGCCTATGGTCATCAGGGCCCTCGGGCAGTAACCCCGAAACTGGAGCAGTGGCTACAACAGATCCCAGGAACAACATCAGACATCTCAGTCCAGAAATGTGCAGTCCTTGGCACAGCCAAGATACTGCAGGACCCTCAAGCTTCCAGGCCTCTGGTAGAGGACCCGAGCTCAGAGGATAAGAACCACCCACGGTGGGTGAGAAGGGAATTTTATATATATATTTATGGATATAAACCATTGCCTCTATTGAAATCTCCTTTTTTTCTGAGTCTCTGAGCACAACTACTGAAAGAAAAGTTACACTGAAAACTTTCTCTGTCTTTTTTTTTGTAGTTGTCTAGGAAAACAGCAAAAATTCAAAGCATGTTTGAGCACAATAGACGGCTTGCACTATAACTTCATTCTTTGCTTGACCTTCCTTCTGCTTGACAAAGAGCTAGACTTCACCAACCTCAGTGAAAGGCTTCACTAAGAGAGATACAATAGCTTTTCCATTATTAAACTTATAACTGTGCGATATATTAACCTTGACTGTCCTGACACTTCTCTGCTGTCAGACCAGAATTCATTTATCTTCACCAAAGTCTTGAACCTGGGATGCGCTGAAAAATACAGATACACTCCACTGGGGCAGGCAGTTCTCTTAAAAAAGTCAATTATTTGAATTTCTTTCTTAGACAGGAACCCAGTTCCTCCATTATTATTATTATCATCATCATCGTCACAGTTCTGATTACAGACACTGTCAGTGAGTGCCGGTTGGAGACATCCTCAAAGGAAGCGGATCCAAGTGGAAAACCATTTGGACCGACCCATCTATATAATCTGCATCAGAGGAAGGCCTCAGGCTCACTCTGTTTGTGTAAACGGCGAACAGAGGGAGGTTTCCTTCTCAGCAACGACGTATTATGATGTGTTTGATTCGTTTCTGTTCGATCCTCCCCGGACTGAGAAGCAAACCTGGGGAGGTTTGCTTCCCCAGCCAGATCCTTCCCCAGCTGGGGAAGATGACTGTAAAAATGAGACAGTTGAGCCAGACTGCTCAATTTCTGCATTTCACGAGAATATCAATGAAGAAAGCTCTGTCCTAGAGAATGATTTGGCTAATCTTCCCGAACATCAAATGTCTTCAGTTGATGAAGTTTGTTATGAAGAAGAAATAGTGAAGTTGGAAGTCTCAACTTTGATTTTAAAGATGTCAACATTTGGAGAGCGTATTCATCAAGAGACTGCAGTCCCATTATTATTATTTTTTGACTTTTGTTTCTTTTTCACTTCTTTGTTTGTTTTCTGTGGTGTTTTGAATTATTTCTCTGCGTTATATTTTATATGTGGCCTTCTTTATTTGTTGGAAAGTGAATCATTTGAGTTTATTTTTAATTTGAATTTCAACCCTCCCACAACAGTGAAGGAAACCTCCCCAGCTGGGGACGTTTGTTTCTCCCGTAATGACATTTCTGATTTCCGTATAAAAAATGAGTCAATAGGGTTTAATATACATTTTTTATGTCTTTGTGGCATGAGGTAGATCTCAGCCGGTTCGTGAGAGAAAAAGTACATCTTGATCTCAAAAAGTTTGAGCTCCCCTGTTATAAACAGTGTCTCCAGTCCAGAAAACACAGAGGTCTTTATTTTCCTCAACTTCTTCTGCCATGATGGAAACAAGATTTGATCTAATCCTGTTCCTCCTGAAATCAACAATCATTTCCTTGGGTTGGTTGATTGTTTCAGGTTCTCTCTGTTGCTCCGGCATCTTCCACATAATTAATTAATATCTCTCTCTCTTTATATATATATAAAATCAAGGCTGCTGCGGTGTAAGGGGAAATCTGTTCATGACATAGTCATAAATCATGTGGTGTGAAGACCATAGTGGTGCCTGTGGTCATCGGGGCCCTCGGGGCCCTCGGGGCAGTAACCCCCAAACTGGAGCAGTGGCTACAACAGATCCCAGGAACAACATCAGACATCTCAGTCCAGAAATGTGCAGTCCTTGGCACAGCCAAGATACTGCAGGACCCTCAAGCTCCCAGGCCTCTGGTAGAGGACCCGAGCTCAGAGGATAAGAACCACCCGCGGTGGGTCAGAAGAAATTTTTTTTATTTTATATATAAATATATATATAAAATAACCGAAGTAGCTGATATCAGTAAATTCTACCAATGGCTGGAAAAAGCTTCAAGGAGTTCAGGGAATGCTACTGATATAAATGGAGAAAAAGTGGTGCTTTGTGGAGTCCATCAAGGGTTTGTATTTGGTCAAGTATTTCAGTATATCTTTCCAAGGTTTGATCCTGTTGACCCATCGGACATAGTTTTATAATAGTTAAATAGGTTACATTGGGATTTAACTACCATTGAAATATAATTCATATTATTTAAACCAAAATAACAATTCTTAGATCCAGCTGTGTCTTGCTTTTTAAAGTTTACCGACAACCATCTGAAAATAATGTCAGTGTTTTTTTTTTCTGTCACAAATATCACATATACTCATTCTCAATTGAGGGACTCCAGTACCGCACAAATAACCTTAAGCACATCCACCCATTATTTTAATCTGACAGGGTTCTTGTTTGGGTAACTCAGGTAACTATTATAAATGTATGTTGCTGTTGGAATACATTAGCAGAGGATAAAGAAATTATACTCATCCCCATTGTGCTTGAATGGAAATCTGTATAATAAACAAGGTTCTTAAAATCTTGTTTATGTTTAAATACAAAATGTTGATTTCTTTTTCAGCTGGGTGAAGACACATTCAATCGAGCAAAGTTGCTGAATGTTGGCTACACAGAGGCTCTAAAGGACGCCGAGTATGACTGTTTCATCTTCAGTGACGTGGATCTGATCCCTATGGACGACCGGAACCTGTATCACTGTTATGACCAGCCCAGGCACTTTGCCATCGCAATGGACAAGTTTGGCTTCAGGTAAGCTGATCATTGAAAAGAGTGTTCTGCTTTTGGTAAATCCACACAAGCACACATATATTATAACAGTGTCTACAGATAACATGAAAAACAAAACTGCATAAAATGAACTAACAGCAACAGTTTGCCACTAAAATCATGTTATTTATGTTCTCCATGACTTTGTGATATTCCAAAACATGAAATTATCCAAATTACTAAATTGGTAAATAGATTGTGAATAAACAATCCAAAAAGGTTACTGATTTCCAATTCAGTCAAAAACTAATAAACCATTACTTCCTCAAAGTTTTGACTTTTGCATTTTGAAATGGTTATTTGGAATACATACCAAGGTTATCAATTTCTCTAAACTAAACTAATTTATAATTAATTTTGAGTTGATTGACCTCACCAACAATACTGTTCAATATAATCCTCAGTTTTTAAGTATATATATGCTTTTCAGATGCCTTCATCATTTCTTTTTAAAACGTTAATATTTCTAAACAACAATTGGAACCAAAATATTTGGCTAATATTTTCCTAATAATTGGCCAAGTACGCTGACTGGGTCATTCTGATCTAAATTACTAATTTTATTATTAATTGCAGTAGGCAGTTATTCATAGCCAAAAATAGACTCCTACTAATACACTTGTTTTAGATTCCTGCATTAATTCTAGCTGAGCTTTCTGTTTTGTGTTTTCAGGTTCAGATCCAGGAGCATTCTGATATCTGTTATTAATCCTTTAAAATGCAAGACCTAAAGAAACTCATGTATTAATCTCAAATCATTTGAAAGTCTGGAAATTAAACATGCATAACACATAGGATTAAATGCAGTTGAGTCTTTTACAATTTTCTAAATTAAGCTTTAACTACAACTAGACCATCTTTTTTCTAGTAAAGTCTTCCAGGAGATCTTCCAAAGGCAATAATGAGAAATAAATATGCACTTTTTAAGGCCTTTATGTTCAGATAAACCACAGATGTTCCCAAGCCCTCAATGATTGAGTTTTGTTTTATCTGCTGGCATAATGACACCACACCTAACCTCAATTGTCTAAACGTACCAAGAGTATCGATGAATAGTCCATACATGGTCAACAAAAGCGACCTCACCATATAGTAGCTTTCAGTGCTCCAGAGCTGTGCAGCTAAAAAAGCCTTCAGGGCTGCAGTGCTTCCAATGTACTGTACAGCTTAATAAGCTAATGCTATCTGGCAATAAAAAACAATGCCAGGCGGTAAGCAGAACTGCAGCTCAAAAAATATTGAAATATTTCCGTTTCATATGCTATTTGACTCTGGAGGATCTTTTATTTTGAAAGTCCTGTAACCGGATTCTCTCGGTTATGTCTTGCACGCCAACATTGAGCCACAAGCAGCAAAATGAGTAAGAAACAGATCAGATGTCTTTGGAAAGTTTCTTTGCGAAGGGGAAAAGGACCAGAGAAGAGACAGGAGAATGGATTTATCCCGGTCGGTGATTCCCACATTCCAAGCCTGCTCTGCATGACATGGTGTTGAACTTAGAGGAATAAATTTACTTGGCTCGTTAATTTCCTCTAATCTCCCAGATCCAGGAACTCTGCATGCACAGCGGGAAGCACAGAGAACAACCATTCAACATCAAACTTCAGACATATCTAGAGTTTTATCCAGAGAATTCAATGCATATAGAACATCACATCAGCATTACACCCAGATTATTAAGAAGTCCAAACACATAACAAAACATACAATTACCTGCAACAAGTTGGAAAGGAAAACACAATAGGAGAGACACAAAAATGCATTCTTGGGAATTGCTCTCATGGCTGCAAAGAAAGCAATTCGCAATTCTGCTGTAAGACAGACATTTTATAAGGAGGTGTATTCCCTTAATTTAAATATATGCATTTGAAGGTGTGTCCTCCCCTTGTAGGGCTGTTTAAAGTTAATTTTATTACCTTCTTTGAGACTTCTTCAAACCCAAAGGCAAATATATGGAGAGAACAAAGGTCATTCTCAAACGGGGTCTTCCCGTACCAGTCTCGTCCTTCAAACATTCCAGATCAAAATTTATGTTTCAGCTAGAGACCTGGTTGTTTTTCTGCCTCAGTGATTCATCAAGAAACTGATTCCTGTTATAAACACACTGACACAGAAATCTGGTGTCAGATGATAACTGTGAGTTTGGATCTAAAAATTGCAGGACTATCTTCTTTTAGAAAACCTGAAATATTTTACTTCTACAACTTTTAGTTTCGTAATCCTGTTCTATTTTAGAAATCTAAGATGCATGCAAATTAGTATGGTTAGACACTCACTAGTTCAGAACATGCTGTTAATACTTAAAAGAAATATCTTAATACATTTGATTATACTTCGAGAAGAATTGTTTTCTAAAGGTTTTAGTGTTTTACTGAACTCCTACACAAACACCAAAGAATTGGACTCATCTTGTGAACAGGCAGACCCCCTCTGCCTGTAGACCCCCTGGGGGAGTACAACACAGGTCCCCTGCCTGAAGGCCCTCTTTAGTAATTTATGGAAGTTCAGAAAGTCAGCAGTTGTTTTAGTTTGGATCTTTATCTAGGTCTACCTAACTTAAAATCTACTCAAAATATTCATGCTACATCTAATATTTCATATGCACAAAGGTTAACTGTTTCTAAAATTAATATAACCAAACTTATACTCCCAACAATGGTGACCGGCTCATTAATGAGGGAATGAAGCTTCAAACTGCTTCACCACGTAGAGACCAGGCACCCTGTGCATGAGCAACACTTCGGGTGTCATTGTCGCTCATTGTCTAACATTAGACGTTATTGTAAGTAAAATTTTCACAAAAGTAAAATGTTCGTTTTTGTGGCGCATCTGTGTCTTATTTTGAAGGGATATGTAATCGTTACCATAACGACACAAAGTCAGAGAGCGTTAGGGCAGTTGGTTGAGAGGAGAGAAGAGCTTGTGAGTTTTAGGTCTGGATCACACATCACGATTTAAGGATGGTCGGCCGATTTTTCAAACTTCTGTGGCCACACACAAGGTAATGTACAAGAGGTTCGGTCAGTTCATATATCCAGTCACACGGCAGGAGCAACACACGAACCGATCCCACTCACGAACATCCCGATTCCAGAAGAAAATCCAGTAAAACTCCCAACATGCCACGGGTGATGACGTAGAAGCAGTAGTGATAGTTTGTGGACTCATTTTAAGTGATAGAAAGAAAAGGCGTTTGATAAAAGATGGCGGGAGCCGCTTTGTTTGCTGAACTATGATTTGAAGGTGAGATAAGTTTTTTCGTAGTCAAAATTTTCAACCACATATTATAAACATATGTAAAAATGACCTTGACATATTAATAAACATTTCCACACATCACCTCCGATGTCCACCGGACTCTCAGTTGCCATGTCAACTGTTTGGGATTCCCTACGTTCTTACGTCACCGCTCTTTCTGATTGGCTCCCTGTCACATTCAACAGGCTGCGTTCTGCTCCCAGTCAGGAAAAACCCCACAGGCTGCGAGAATCGAGCCAAGACAATGTTGAATCTGCCCGATTTTAGATCACACCACCACCTAACACACCACACACTGCAGGACTATTCTAAAGAGAAAAACAACAACATGCAGAAGCATTATCTGAAGGGCAAAATGGCCAAGTCTTGATCAGTCGGCGGTAATAAAAAGGTGGGGGAACACTGCTGTAGCTGACATTTCCTGTTAGTAATTAATCAGTAAGCACTCAAAATAGTTTTATTCAAGCCCTTGGCTCCTCGATAACAAATGGCTGCAAGAGTTGAACCTGAAGGATCTTGAGTGGAAGGGCTCAAAATGGATGCAGGTGATTATCAGCTGAAAAATAAACAGTTGTCAGATAAATATTCTGCTCTGATCTTCAGTTTGTTTTCAAGCTGTAAAATGTTAGACTTGTCTTTAGTGAATGAATGAAAATTGGTAGCAGTGAATATGAGCTCATGTTAAGGACTTTTTCATACATTTCCATAATAATATATCAACTATGTGGGAGTTAAATCAACACTGGGCTTTTTGTTGTGTGGGATACCCACCTGTTGTTGTGGACTCTTCTGATTTGAGATCATTAGATGTTTGTTGTTGGGGGGAAAAAATGAGAAAACATATTTGCTCTCCATGCAACAAATAAACATAAAACTTAAATTTCAGCCGCACCTTATCTTGGTACATTTCTGTCTCCCAACATGCCACGGGATGCTGCAGCACTCTCACTGCTGGCTCTAAGCTTGCAATTAAAAATAAATTGGTTCTTATCCTTTTTTCTCACCCAGCATTGCAGACAGTTGGCAGAATTGAATCATTCATGTTAGTGCTAGGTGTGCACAGGGCCATTTGTAGAAGACACTCTATCACAGTGATTTTAAAGTCATGTCTCAAGTTCGACTGAAATAAGCTTTTTTTTCATGAAATGCACATCATAAATAACAGCATCATCTGGGTCTATTGTAATGCATGAACACAACTGTTAGCGTAAAGTAAAATATACAGGATTTTTTAAAAATAAACTTTCTAAAAATTAACAAGTTCATTTTAATTTAGGAATTAATCAAACACTTTATTTTGCATGAAGTACTTAATTAAAACTTGTTAATTCTTGTGTTAATATTAATGTTGTCCACTTACTTTCTGCATACTGCACATGTGGCTTAGACAGAGGGAATTTAAGTTTATTACTCTAATTACAAACCTTTCAAAAATGTTCCAAGGTGTCTTATAAAATTACATTTTGAGTGAAGCAGTAAAACATTGAGGCTAGTGACAAAACAAAGCCCCAGTTTGCTGCAGGCTCTGTGCAGACTGGCAATTACGGCAGCCAAATGTGTGTGCAGAAAAATGAATTTCTAGGACATTCATGTTTCATTCATATTCTGAAAAAGTCATAGTCAGTCTTGTTTGTACATAGAGCTTTCACTATAGTTCTTCTTTAAATAAGACAAATATCTGATTTATGCACTGTCAAATTGTGTCTCTTTCGACATAAGTGAAAAAGACCAAAATTTGTGATCAATGTCCAAATATTTCTGCCCTCATTGCAAGTGCCAATACATGAGATTAAATGTTAACAGTCGAAGTTTAAAAGGAACCTAATCTGTTCCGACTTTAATGTTACTCTGGGACCAAATCTTTCAGAGCTAAGAGGCAAATTTAAAATTGCTGAAGCCTCCGGGGTACTTTAATGCCTCTGTGATTTACAATGTTTTAATATGACCTTTAAAATGCAGCTGCACTGTCAAATTCATCTCAAACCATTACTTACAGCACACTGGAAGAGAGGAAATCAACAGACATAATTTAAGACTTTATTATTTGTGTGAAGTAGACAATCAAGAGACCTGGAGGTATGACTGGCCACTACTTTGTCTGTCATGTGGTCAAAGCTGGAAGACGTGGCAGGTTTCTGCTACATGGGAATTCTGCTGAAGAAAAGATAATTCTTCTGTTCATCTTTATGATTTTTGGATCAAAGGCATTATGTTTTACTTCTTTCATTTTGCAGAGAATAAGTAAGAGTTAAATGCATTACCTGATCAGATTATTTAGTCTATTTCTATCATCTTGACAAGAAACATGTTTTTAAACATATCAAAACTTTAAACATTTTTTGTGCAAAAAAGTCTTTATAAGTAGTTTTGACATTGTCAAAGTCTTTTCACCAGTTTTTCTGGTGAGAAGAAAAATCTGTGGCCTTTGCCAACAGTGGTTTTGAACATGCATTTATCATCTTCATCTTGTAAAAACTATCCTTTTTTTCCCCACTTGAAGCCTTCAAACAGATGGTGTGATGTTTACTTTCAGTACAAGCTGTGTATGCTCCACTGGCCTTTCAAAAAAAGTTATTTTTTATTCCCACTGTTCAGCCTGATTTGCTTCTGAAATTCACCAAACTTCTTTTAAAGGTCTTTTAATGCTTATAAACTGGTCCCCAGGTCCTGGACCAAAACATGCAAAATCAAGCCTGAAAGGATCTGAAGAACATTTCTGGGGTCAACGTCTGGCTTATTTATCGAAGACGTCTGATCCAATGGAGAGATTTTTGATCACGCTTTTCTTATAAATAAGCAATTAATATAAAAAAGTTTTAACAAATATTCACAGTTCTTAAGCTGGAGCTTGCATTACATATATTTTTTTTCATTTCTATATTTTCTCACTCTCTTTCCTCTTGTTCCCCTCAACATGTGTTTTGTTGAACACACCTGTTCACACTCCTCCTGACCACATAGCTGCTCACAGAACTTGTGCTGAGACATACATTCTCATTAGTTTCTGCTTGTCATCTCTCAACAAGAAGCTGTCACACATTTGACATCATAGAGTGTACACACGTAGGTGTACACACACAATGCGCAAAGCCCTCTGGTTAGACTCCAGGCGCCTGTCATGTCACCCCCCAGTGACGTCCGTCCCACTCCACTAGCCTCGTGACTTTTGACAAGAAGTAAAAAAAAACGCTTGTCTTCCTTTTTTAGTTGGCTGTGTTTTCAAGCACACACGCATACGCACACTCCATACTCATATCCCTGTTTATTCATCAGTTTGAAAATTAATTCACCTCATTAATTCACTATTCATACATGTGAGAACTCATCATTAGAAGCTTCCTAGCATTCACTCTAACAAGGCAACTTATTTTATAAACTGCTGAGAAACTGTTTCGGAAGCCTCTTCAGAGTTTTTTATTTTTATTTTGTATTTTACATGGAGTCAATTCATACCACAATTGGATTAAAGGGATATGGATTATCCTATTACAGTTAAAAGTCACCCATAAATTATCCACTTAAAGTCTGAAAATGACAAGAAACATAAAAGATCAGATTGCCAGACAGACATAAATGCCTTATTTAAATGTAAATTGTGTTAGGTAAATCTGCACATAAAAAGAAAACTCACAGTTCCATCACTTTGATATGGAGTTTTCCTGAAAAGCGTTCTTTAAAGTAGTAGTGCAATGGAGCAATGGAGCAGCGGTTGGAGATATTATAAGCACAGTCATTGCTTCAGCAAGAGGCGCTCTGGGTGGAGTTTGCACACTCTTCCTCCACTGGGATTTATTTCAATTGCTAGACTGTCACCATCTGCCCAAATCCAGGCATTTTAGGTGGAGATCTTAGCTGGAGGATACAAGAGAAACAAAAAATTACAATATAGGTAATAAGTAAATATTGTAATAACAACATATCAATAAAGCTACATTTTCTCTACTCCCAGTCAGTAACACATAAATTCGGTATGTAGATTAAGTGCATGGAAAGTTCATGCAGCTGGCTAAATACATATTTCGAAGCAAACCTTAAATGCCCGACCCTTAGAAAATATGTGCACATTTTGTATTCAAATAGTCCTTTGAAACTGAAGTTTTGCACATTTGGCCATTCACAGCTTCAGAAGAGATGTGTTGACAAAAAAATTATCTTTTGGCATGAATGGGATTGTTTTCTGACTTGATCAGTCATGACTGGTGATAGGTTGGCTGGAAACTCAAAATCCCCAACCTTTTTGCTCCTTAATAAACCAGGCCATGCTAACCACAACACTCTTCAGAGTAAATATTGATACTGTTTGAAGAAGACTATTGTCAGCATCAGTGAAGTACTTATCTTTTATGGTGAGGCATGTCTGCTGTTGATTCAGTTTGCTATAACAGAGAGCAGGATTTTGGCAGGTGCTGGTCATTTCACTCCTTCGCAATGTTGTACTTTGCTAGTTTTGTCCTTTTGTACCCAATATATAACACAACAAAAAGAAACCGTCTGCCACAGGAAACCAGTCCATGCACACTTCAGGGACTTTTAATTGAACCTTTGAAGGGATTTGTTTAACCTAAGGGAACTTCAGTATTCAAACGGGGATTGATGTTTACAGTTAATGAGGTAACCACACTGATCTTGCTATTTGATTCACCCATCAATTATCTATACCTGCTTATTCTGGAAGCATCCTATCTCTAGCAAGTATTGAGCACAAGGTGAAATACACTCTGAGCAGGTCGCCAATCCATCATAATAATCATTCTAATCCCTGTTATAATATGGTCTGATTTTTAGGGGTTTTTTGGCCTCCACATTGACCTTCGGTGTGGGTTCACGGTTGCCTACATCTCTGTATTGTCCTGTGACAGACTGGAAAACTCACCTCTCACCCATAAGATAAGCACCCGCCCTCCCATGATGCTGCAGTGATTTAGAAGATATAGGGAAAGTCGGCTAAACGGGTTTTCTGAAAGTCTAATTATTGCAGTGGACATCCCAGGTTAAAATCCAAAGCAAGGTTGTACTGTGCAGAGTTTGGATGTTCTTTCCTTGTCTGTGTAAGATTTTTTTCCTGCTGTTAGGTTAATGGCACCTCCTAAATCTCCCATAGTTGTGAGTCTGTGTGTGAATAGCTGGTCATTTTGTACCATAGTAGATTGATTATTTTATTTTACCTGACATGGTATGACAGATATCTGCCTTGGGACATTTTGAGCTGACTATGCGCCAATGCATCCTTCCCTGGGGGCCTTTTTAACCATTACAAATGTAATATTAAAACCTGTTTAATAGCCTAGTGTATGTAAAGATGGTTATATATCTGCCATAAAAATACAGTATATATCAGCAGGACGTTGATTATAAATTCATTTAGGTTTTGTGATCAAGCATTGCAATATTTCATACTTAATTAGTTTCTATTGGCTTAAACTGTAATGAGAACTAAAATAATGGTACAAGGTGATCCAGAGTTAAACTAGAATTAAATTAAATCTGAAATTTGAGTTATGTATCATTGCACCTCAAGGAAATATGTTCCTACCAAGACAGATAAAGTGTGTTGTCCGAGTTCAGGTACATATCTATCATTTTTTGTTGTCGTGCTTTATGGGTATTAAATTGATGTAGAAAGGCACTAAATGGCAATGGGTACAAATTAGAGCTACAAATTGAAAAAGGAGCAAATTGACCTATTGAGCAAGGCACCAGCAGCCTCTGCAACACTAACTATGAATAAAAGATAAGTTAATGGATGGTTGGGTTCTTTGAGAAGCAGAATATAAAATGCCTAACCTGTTCAAAGCATTGTGTCTTAATGTCAGATATTTTGACTCTTTTGCGTTCATACTGATTTCAGTTTTATTTGAGCAAATGATTATTGTAGTTTTAGCTGATGCATGGAGTGGTATGGTGCATTTCGATAAGTTGTAACAAAGTCACATTTGCCAAACAATAGCACGAACGGCTGAGATGAAAAGCGAGTAGGAAAGAATAAAATAGTTATCATGGGTTACAAATGTCCATAAATATAAATTGACAACAATGCTTTCAACCGTTTCAAAAATTTGCTCTATTTTATGTCTGTCTCTTGTCAAATTGTGAAAGTTAAAATATTCTTATGGTGTTTTAAATAAACTGAGCTACAATAAGGTCTTCCCCAGGCTGAATATAAAAATGTCAGAAGTTGTATTTTCTTTTGAAATTTTTAGTTCTCTGAGGACATCTTGCTCACGCCTCAAAGCAGAACAAAATCCTGTTTTAATTCAGCAGAAAAGTGGCGCTACCAATCCTCCAAATGAATGTGTTTGCTTGTTTACAGAATTCATTTTCAGGAAATTGTTTATGTAGTATAGATATGTAGATTTGAAATGTTTCTTCATGATGTCTGGACTCATCTACTACTTCTCTTAACTTCCTCTCACCTTTTCTGCTTCCCATGTCTTTCCTCCCTGTTCTGCAGATTGCCCTATGCTGGCTACTTTGGAGGAGTTTCGGGGCTCAGTAAAAAGCAGTTTCTAAAAATCAATGGCTTTCCAAACGAGTACTGGGGCTGGGGAGGAGAAGATGACGACATCTACAACCGGTAAGTGAGGAGGATCGAAGGGAAAGCTGATTGGTCTGTTTCCAATTCACCTTTGACAAAAATGTGCCAAAAAAGTGACATTATGCTATGCTTTTGAGTCCTTGTTTCATTTTGTAGAAATTAGTCAGAATTTTGCTTCCTACTTTAGCCCTTAAAAACTGAGACAAGCAATAATTCTGAGCTTAAATCTACATTTTCCAGCAGAGACCAAACAAATAAATATAAGATTTGATTCAGAATGTTTTGAGAAAAGAACAGAGATTTGTTGGAACTGTCTGGATTAATTTTCATTGTCTTTTAAGAACAGTGTAAGACCACCTACAGCAACTCAAGCTGTCACAAATGCATGCACTGTCATCCATTATCCTTTATTTCTGCTATCTCTGTAGAAAATTGGACACATCAGCTAAAAGTGACACATGAGTTCTTCATTTCGATGATTTATTACAACTGTTCAGAGAAGGAGAATAATTATTTCATAAATTAACCTTTTGAAGTGCTTCAGTCAGCTTTTCATGTCAAGCTGAAGTTCACTAATTATGTTGCAGTGGGTGTTGGCTGGAGCCAAATCCGGGAGGGCATTAGTTGTTTGACAGGTTGACAGGAAGATGAGTTGGGTCTGCCTGGTTGGATTCAGGCATTTAGTTGATAATTAGGTTGATTCATCTTGGACTCTTGTTCTTGGTTCTGTTTAATTACCTGGTTAACTGATTATCTTATGAGTAACTCAGCATCTTCGGGGCTTGATGCTTCGTTTGAAGTTAAAAACTATGCAGATATGTACTTGCAGTCTTACATATTCCCTGATACGTGATCCCATAATCCCCCCTCATTCAACTGAAAAATGTCACTTGGGTGTTTCTTTACAGCTTGTCAAAGTCAGCTTCAAAGAAAAAAATGATGTCAGTTACATTTGCGTTCAGCAAATTCGGCTCAAGTGAACTAATTATAAAGACGCACAGCTTAAGACAATAGGATACCTCTTCACAGATTCAGTGCCACCTACATCTTCATTGTATATATATTTTGTATCCTCTGTTTTTCTCTTCTGCTGTATGGCGTGTGTGTGTGTGTGTGTGGGTGTGTGTGTGTGTGTGTGTGTGTGTGTGTGTGTGTGTGTGTGTGTGTGTGTGTGTGTGTGGGTGTGTGCGTGTGTGTGTGTGTGCGTGTGTGTGTGTGTGTGCGTGTGTGTGTGTGTGTGTGTGTGTGGCCCTCAGTGTGAGGCTTATCTTTCCCACTCAGAGTTACTATGTTGGAAGAAAACTGAAATGGAGCATTTGAGAAAGGCACTGTTTGACTGTGTGAAGCAAAACAGTGTTCAGAAGATTACAGTTGTTTTTTTTCTGAATCTGGTAAGATGTGATAAAAAGAGATCTATGGTTGCCGTGTGACAGGGTTGTGTGTACTCATATGTCTGCAATGATGTGCCAAACTGATGACGGATAGAGTTAAACCACAAAGTTTTTATTGGAGGGAAACAAACACTCAGCTATTAGATGCTGTAGATTTCCACAGAGATATTGCCCTGCACTTCAACTGGGTTATTTTAGCCACTCTGATATATGAGATAATGTGGGGGAGAGTTAAAAACATTTAGTGAACTAATGGAAACTTTCTAATATTGTGTTTCAGAATCAAGACATAGCTACCTGTCTGGCTTTAGTTAACATAAAATAATCTGGCAACATTTCCAAAGTTTACTTTATTTCATACTAATAAAGTTCCCGAATTACGGAGGAGAAAAAGGCCTTTGTGTAATTTGCTTAAAACACATGGTCCAATTAACCCACTTGAGTGGTATGTTCTCTATTCTTACCTGTTTTGAAGAGAGGCTAAGAGTAACAGGGCTCTGCTATGTGATGTTTATACACCAGACAGGGAGTAAGTCAGAAATTACAAAATAAAAGTCCCTAGTTTTTTTTTTTTTTTTTTTTTCGCTTTTCTTTTTTTTTCAACAACTGCAAAAGTCAACATATAAATATATATATTTAAAAAAATATGTATAAAACCAGGCCAAATGTTAATAACAGACTGATTAGCTCTGTAACTTTTGGGGGTTTCAGTTTTTTTCAGATTTTTTCTTGATAAATATTCAGATTTAAAGGCTGGTCATTTCTTAATTTCTCTGTTAAATCATTGATTTTTTTTTTTTTTACAGCTTTTTCCTCAACTTTACTTCCAAATTTATAAATATGAGAAATGACCAAAACCTTATGAACTTCCACTTTAGAGCAACATTTTCACTGTTATTGCTTTGTAAAAAGATATTTCTTTCGTATCTCAGATTTACAAATTTACAGATATATAGCATTATCTGTAAATACTTCCATCTCCCAATTGAGAAACTTAAAACATTGGCAGTGTTATTTTGTAGGCTTGAAGCAAAGAACCACTGCCATAAAGTTTTTTTTGTTTGTTTTTTTTTGCAGAATCACACGAAAAATGAAAACATACAAAAAGCTAAACTGGATACTAAAGCTTAGGAGGTATTAGTTGTTTGTCAAAATGCAAGAAACTCTAGAAAGATTAATTTAGACTCTATTTTTAATTTATATTTGCAGCCAGGAACTCACCCTGACAGGTCTGAAAAACCTCGCAAAGTGCAGTGACGCAAAACAAACGGTCTTCTGGGGCCAAGTAGAATAGAAATAGGTTTTTGTCCATTTTTCTAAGCTACTGGCAGTTCTCTCTGTTATGCACATTTATCTTTCTATAAAAGTCACAAACTCAATCTCAGTATCAGAAAAACCACAAGAAATAAGAGAACAGAGTTCAGAACAAAGGGTATGCAGGACTTTATACGTAAACCCCACCGTCCACCATCCAGTCTTTGTTGTTGTTGTTGTTTTTTTTTTGAGTCAGTTAAGTAGAAATGCCCTTGAAAAAAATACACCCTGGGATGAGCTGTTAAGGAGAGTGAGGCTGCACTTTTATAGCTAAAACTAAAACCAAGCAGGACCAAAAATCTGTTGTGGTGATTTTTGTCTAGGTCGGGGCATGGCACTAGGTGAAAGTACTACCTACCTCTCTTAAACCTGCCTATTTCTAGTACCTCCCATCACTGTCACTGCTGAAATACTTTAGTTTGTACCTGAAGAACCTTCATGATATGTCATGTCACAGATAGTGAGTCCCCCTTTAGGAAGGTAACCAACAACTGCAAGATATTCCATTTAAATTGCAATATTTGAAATATTTCAATTATTTAAATAAAACATATTTCATTAATTTATTATTCGTTTTAGCGCATTAGTAGCAGACTGGCGGATGGTAATATAAATTCAGTTTGTGATAAATAGAGGGATTTATGAAGGGAAATGGAAGTTGCGGATTTGTTCCTCTCTTAAAATCCATTTGAAGCCCTAGCTTAAATCTATATTAATTTATTTTTAGCTTAGGTTATCAGGACGTACATGTAATAATTTGTTGACCTAAAAATATATTATATATATTTTTTTTAAATATTGTCCCCTGTTTTAGTCGGTCTTTGGTTTGCCTGGTTTCTTGATTTTGCACCTTTAACATGACTCCCATGCAGGTCTCTTGGTCTTGACTTGTATCAACAGGGCAATTTTTGCTCCTGTCTTCTCAGGGATTCCTACCCCCACCACTATTTATGACATGTTACAAATAAGAATAAGATCTCGATTCACAAGATTCTAATTTGAGTGAAACTCCTTCACAGAAATATAAACAAGGTCAGTCTGCTTTAGAGCATATTTTGCTTGGAGGCTGTCTTGCTATTATAAAAGAATGGCTTGAATATATATATATGCTCTTGCATAACTGACCATTGTTACACATTTAATGCTGCAACCTCTAAAAAAGGTCTCACAAGGAGTAAAGTGAGTGACTAATTAAATATCCAGCAGACAGAGTCTCACTGGATTTAGTAAAAATAGCTGTAAGACAGGAGCAAAAAGACGAAGAAATAAAAGAGCTGTGTTAGAACGCACTGTGGCAAAGGAGTGTGCTCTGGTTTTCACTCAGCTGGAATCAGAAAACATAGTTCATGAGTTTGAACCAAGAAAGCAGCTGATGTGTCTACCAGCCTCCATCTGTTCTCTCTTTGAAAGCTGGTCTGAAAAAGGAGCATCAACTAAACCACTAAATTGCTTTTTTATACACTTCCTGCTCTCACCTTCAGCACCTTCCTCCCTCCCTCGGTTAGTACTTCTCTCCAGCCCAGCAGCCATCCATCTCTTCACATCTTGTTTGCTTGCTTCCCTCCAGCAATTTCCTTTTTTGTGCTGGTTTTGATGCAGCAGACTAAAATGGGTCCTGCCAGCTTCATCTCAGCCCAGAGGAGAGTTGTCCCTGCTGCATGAGGTGGGCTTCAGTCAGATAGGACATGCGCCACTCCCCCAGCCAGACCTCAACCAAATGTTGGATGATATCACAGATAAGGATAAAGTCTAAGCATGTAGCAAAAGCATTGGACAGCTACCAACCACCTTCTTCCACTCTTATCGCTGACCTTTACCCTTTGGCTCAGTAAACCTCCCAGCTGTGACTTTTAGCTATGCTTGAGCCAGCATCTTACAGACGTGCAGTCACAACAGTGAGCTCTTCTCTGAAGCCTCGACAATTGTATTTTTAGAGCAACCCTTTGAACGTGTCAAGCCTTTGATAAGTTTAGTCACAAATCAGGGTCAGGTCAGATGAACAAGAAATGAGAAGTGTTTGAAATCTCACTTTCTACTTTTCTTTTTGTTATTTTTAGAATATTTTTCCCTTTCTGTCAACGAGCTGAAAATGAAAGAAAGGATTGTAACAAAGCTGCAGGACTTGACAATAAATGACAGATATCAAAAAAGTACTTTTATTGTGTTTTACTAAACTTAGCCTTGGGTTAACAAATAGTAAATAGTAAAACCAGTGTACCTTTTTAAATTCAGAGTGACAATTTAGATGCAGCTAATTATGTATTTGACCCAATAAAGCAGCAAGAGAGCAGATCAAATCTTGTCAGCCATTTATGATGGCATTGCAATTCACAA